CACATCTGTCTTCAGTGGAATTTGTCACATTTCATATTTGACACAACGAAAGCAAATTAACAAGATAGAGAGTGATTACGATAAGAAGATAATATCAACAGTAGCCAAAAGCTGAATAAAAGAAATATATTTAAATAGGTCCAAATGAAACTGGGGGAAGAAAGATACCAGTTAATATTGAAACTTAAGTTTTAGAATAATATGAAGGAAAAGTATATCTATCATCAATTTCCACCCATATCACTGAAGGTCTGAAATTATACATCATGATAATCTCATAGACCACAACTATCAATTTCGTAAATCATAAAATTGTTCAAATGAATAATCAATAATTGCATGGAATGATAAGTTCTATGAATCTGCCTCCACCTGTCTAAACCTCATTCTAACCTACTTCTATTCTATAGAACATAGTGAGTCGGAGTAATCATTATCTAGACATGACTAGTGACTAAGAATAGAAGGCATATATATATATATATATATATATATATATATATATATATATATATATATATATATATAATATATATAATATATATATATATATATATATGCATAAATCATTTAAAGTTCCGTGAACTTTTTAACGGTTAGAATTTCTGCATATTTTAAATAAGACAAAATAACCAATAACTTATTCCTTCAGATGCTTACTTGTCAATTATTAGTTTTAAAAATTAAATCATGACTAATTTTCCTTGGTTTTCTCATTAAAAAAAAATATTAATCATTTTGTTATTCCAAGGTGTAATTTACTTCAATCACCAGGAAAATATTAATTTCAAAGAAGAATATATACCAAAAGTTACAATATGTGAATTTTTAAACAAACATCACATATACTATACATAACATGTAAAAAAAGATAATTATGGAGAATAACTATGTCAGGATGTATACATGTATACTAATAATATGATTGTAATTATTTCATGTTCAAAAGTCACATGTATCTAATAGTTGATCAATATGTAAACACATACATATAATCTAAGTATGTAGTAGTCGAACGCGTTGACAACTTCACTTGTCTTGGAAGTCTGATCAGCCCTAATGGGTTGGTGTCTGACGAAATCTCAGCACGGATTCGAAAAGCTCGTTTGGCTTTTGCCAACTTACGTCACTTACGGCGAAGGCGAGATATCCGTCTATCAATAAAAGGACGAGTATACTGCGCGGCAGTCCGTTCTGTTTTAATTTACGGCAGCGAAACATGGCCATTAAGAGTAGAAGACACTCGTAAGCTACTAGTATTTGGCCATAGATGCCTTAGAAATATTGCTCACATCTGCTGGGATCACCGGGTAAGTAATAGTGAGGTTAGACGCAGGGTACTAGGGAATGATGGTAAATCAGTTGATGAGGTTGTGAATCTTCATCGATTAAGATGGTTGGGCCACGTGTTACGCACGCCTGAACACCGATTACAATGACGCGCAATGCTGGCTAGTGTTGGAGATGGCTGAAAGAAAGTTAGGGGCGGCCAAACCAAAACGTGACATCAGTGCCTGAAGTCACTCACTTCTGGTCTGAGTCATGTTGGTAGATGCAGACTACTTGGTTGGGGTCCGCGTGACTATCGTAACCAATGGTTGGAGACTGTGGGTGACATGGCTCAGAATCGATCACAATGGCGTAGATGTATACACTCTTTGTCTTCCTTTAAACTATTAAATTAAAATCGATTTATATCTTTCTACCAACTAATTATTTTTTTTCGGTACTATATCCTTATGTGCAATCTTTCGTTTATATGTTACTACCACTGAATTAACTACTTTTATGAATCTGGTGTACATCTTGTTGTGTTAATGAGGTATGGCAACGTGGACCGATGCATATATGTGCCTGGTCCTACGTTGTAGCTGACTGACTGACCGACTGATATAAATATGTATCCAGTAAAGGTTAGGCAATAACAGTAAACTTGTGCGTCGATAAATTCATGGAAAGAGATAAACAACTATAAACAAAGTTTACCTGAGATCACAGCAAAACGAATAATCTCATTATTAAAAGATTAAATATATACAATGTAAAAAGTTGGTAATGAAACGGTGTCATTGCAACCGAGTTCCTACCATATCACCTGACGGTTTTCAAACAACTGGTAGAAAAAAACACCACGGGATAAGGTGAGTACTTGAATACTACCAGTTTACTACTGACTTATCTTCATGATGTTTTTTATCCACTTCACTCAGTGATACAGAAAAGCAAAATCATTACGACAACCCAATATCAAAAAGATTATAGCTTATGGTGTTCACTAGAACATTTCTTAAAAAACATAGTCATCAACGTTTAGGTGAATAAAGTCATCTGGTTATTATTATTATTATTATTATTATTATTATTATTATTATTATTATTATTATTATTATACATACACTGGAACTTATCAATAATCTTTGTTTTGTTCGTTCCATTTCCTTTGTCTTCAAGAAATAAAAAGTTTACTATACTGTATTTGTACATACTTGGAATAGAATTAGTATTTTCCTTTGGTTTTGGCTATTTTTTCTTTTTACGTATTTATTCGTAATTACCGTAGGTGTTTAAAAAACAGGTTTTAAACATATTAACTTTAAGTACAATTATCATGATTGCCACCTTTTGAATCAATTTGACTGACACTGTTTCTTGTAGTTTCTTGTGTTTTCACTAAACTATGTTCAAATAAAACTAAAAACTCATTGAATATGCTTAATATTTAAACAACCCTATATTTATGTCAGAGAGCGACACATGGATAAAAAAGGAGGCAATTATACCTTATGGAAATTTAATCTGAGCATGTACCTCTAAAAAAATCTTCCACATCTCTAACACTCGTAAAATAATTACAGGCAATTTAATTCAGAAGCTAGACTACAGGGTTACGCTTCACCCCATATCAATGAATTAATGGCTACCTTCAAAATATAAGTGTCTAAAAATAGGCTAATTGCTGAATCGTCATGTCTCATGTATGACGAAATTATAGATCTTAACAAGGAAACACATTTAAACTAGTTTAGTAGAAATCAACAACAGGAACTGGTGAAAAATATATAAAATAATCAAATAGGAGTTCATTCATAAGAGTTCAATGGTTATATTATGATATTATCTATATTTATTCTGTGGTTTTCATGAAACTTATATTAGCTTAAATAATGATACTCAATAACCACATACTGATTCATATACTAGACCTTTAGCCAAACCTAATGTATAGTACAAGTGTAACTCATTTACTGGGTACCGGTTTATCCACTCAACTTAAAACCACACTGTGACCTAGTGATACTACCTAGCCCCCGAAACCGAAAAAGGTGGAGTGTGAAGTTTGAAGCCAAATGTTCCAGCTACTATATCACTTCGTTGCGTAACAGAAACGATGAAACAGTTACCCAAGGTTTGATTGCTATTTGATTAGAAGAAATAAAACTAAAAACAATCAATAGATTTAGTTTTAAACCACAATTAATCATGATCTACATTATTTAGCTATATCATCTCTAAAGGAATTTGGACGTTATACGGAAAGGCTTAGAATCGGTAATCATGGGGTGAATGCATTTTATCTTTATATTTTCTTAGGTCGTGATTTTCGAAAATTTCGAATACTTCTTTTGTTTAGCAAATTCATTATTTCTTATGGAATCATAATGCCTAAGCATAGACGTTTCTATAACTAATCATAGTGTTACTACTTCTAATACCAACTTTATCTCAACGTGCCAATGTGGTGTGACAATTTGGACAGATTCACATATGTGCCAGGTTTCTCGATGCATAAGATAAGTTGACTGAGAGACTTTAGATAAACTACTAGACAATAAGGTATGATAGCTATTTTTCCACACAAAGAGTCATTTCATAAACTGAACACTCTCCTACCTCATAAAACCAGTTCTGAAGATAACGATATGGTATCTAATGAACTAATAAATTTAGAACCCGTACGAACATTAGAACTGAAGTTTAGAAGTACCTCCCTTCTCAAAATACGGTGTTCTCAAACATGTAAACATCACTTGATATTAAAATTATTTCCATAGTATTATTACCGGATATAGGCAACTTCATCAAGACAACAATAATCGAACAGGAAGCCCTTAAATATTCTCACCTTGAAGTCATGTCTTACAGTCGAAAACCAGAAATAACCATCACAGAGTACTGGACGTTCAGTGTTTTAAAATCAGTCCATATTTTATAAAGTATTATGACTCTAAGTTAGACCAAGAAAGAGTCATCTACAGCGCATTGTAAGGCCAGAAAAGTTTGAAAAGTTTTCCGAAGCAAAACAAATGTCGACTGACTTCTACAAAATACTGCAATGTGATATGAAATTATGGAGTTTATTTGTCCACATAAATATGGACACAGGGTGTGATGAAGTTGTTTTATAGACCATCCGTTTAGACTAGGGTTTACCTTTACTTTCGAAGGTGATTATTTAAATATGGTGAGCAGGTGTGGTTAGTGCTATGTTACATTATAATCATGGTTCAGCCCGAGCAAGTATAAATTACAGGGAAGTAAAAACTCAAAGGAGTCTCAGTTATAATCAATTTAGAGCCTGGTACAACCGAGAGTTAACCCAAGTTGTTATATTAATTCCATGCATTTTACAATGTGTAGCTTAACATACTCTATACCGATCCACATCCAGTACCGCTAATTGTTTCTTAGCTAGATCACAAACGGTGTCTACTGTATACATTCAAGCATCTATTACATGAGATTTCGAGTGACACAAGCTAGTTTAGTCGAATCAGTACACAATCTTAGAAGTCATTAAATGAATTTTAGCAATAGATTAAATGTGATAGTTTAAAAAAACAACTATTGGTAATGAATACGTAGAAGTTAGTAAATGATCTACATAGTATCATGTACATATTTTAAGTTTAAAAAAAGTATACATTTTTGTTTTAGTGGAAATCCGCAACAATAAAGTTCGATTCAGTTGAAACATAACAACATAAAGCAAATAAACTAACCTAATTCGCCAGCCGCAATATCCGTCATTAATGGATCAGTTAAATTTAATTTAGGCTGTTCATCGTCGCCATTATCAACATCAACATCATTATCATTCATAATAATACTCGGAAAGTCAATATTTTTATCATGTACTTGGTTTATACTTCTACTTGTCATATGACTGAGGTTATCTGAGAATGGATCACAGCACCGACATGAGCATGTAATGACTTTTCTACAAGGGAATATTGAATTTATTGGATATATCTGATTTGGTGAGCAAAAGGATGAGTTTGTTGATTTTGGTAAAGCAAATGCAGACTGTACAGAATTACAATGGACAGTGGTATTGGCCGATGCCAGTCTTTCATACCTTCCAGAGAGTAAATAATCCATATCACAGTCTAGATCATCACACAACCTTGATTGTTCTTTAAAATCTGAAGACCAAGAAGACATTCCCATGTCGAGTTAAAAATAGGAAACCAAGAGCTAATAGTTTTACAGTAAATTTCTCCGAATGCTATTTTTTGCTTTTAAGTGTTGTGTACATATGTACCAGTGCGTTCACATTGAGCTACAATAGTAAAAAAGAAAATAAGCACCAATAAAAGACGAGTATATATATATATATATATATATATATATATATATATATATATATATATATATATATAGAGAGAGAGAGAGAGAGAGAGAGAGAGAGCTTAGTTGGGTAAGTGCTTAAGTCCTTAAACATTAAAAACTATTGATGACTTGGTAAAAGTAATAATATCCTAAAATGTTTGGATACTGCTAGAAACTTTACAATTGAAATGAACCCGGTCTTCATGTAGCTGTGTTATTAATATTCCAAATCAAATAATGTAGTTTTTCGTGTAGTACTGGTCACCAAATGAACAACAAATCAAGGAACTACTTAATAGATTTCACCTCAGTACGATTCATTAAGTGAGAACTAAGTATCTGGGGAGTAATAATGCCACCCATAGAATAAGTGACTTATTTAACCAAGTACGTGCACGTTGGAATGGATTAGAGTTGTTACACACTAGTAAGGCTGTGGGTACTACCGGTGACAGGGTATCAGGGCTTATCTATCGCAAAAACCAAATAAAAACTATATTAGTCATCTTTAACATATTTTTAAAAAAATCCACATGTTAGTCAGGTTATTTCAAAATCTGTTTGATTAAAAACAGACAGGCAGACATCAACAACATACAACATAGTATAGGTCTGTGTTGGACCAAGTCCCCATACCACAGTACGACCAGATGGAAATAGCAACAGACATCAAAATACTGTGGTAGCAATAAAAGTAAGAAATAATAAACCTTGGTAATACCGTTAGGAAAAACGGAGCGTAGAAGTGTGTGTAGAGGGACACCTGGACTCAAGATTGAGAAGATAAAAAAAGAATGCACTTGCATTAGTCCCACCGATTCTGAATCATGACATCTTACGTCTCCAATCATTGATAGGTGTTATCATGAGAACCTTAACCAGGTAATCTGCATCAACTAACATGGTTTGTACTAACAGTCAATGGTTTCATAAACTGATGCCGCGTTCGGTTTGCCCGCCCCTGGCTTTCTTCTGATCCACTTTAGCACTAATGAGCATCGCTTGTCGAAGTAGGTGGTTGTTAGGCATAGGTAACGGACGTCCTAACTACCTTCGTCGGTGAAATTTTACTACTTTATCGAATAGTTTGTCACCTATGCCAAGTACCATTTGCCTAACCTCTACATCACTTACTCAAACCAAAGACGACAAAACTCAGGTATGGTGCTGGCGTATTTCTGATTGAACTAAAGCGTGGCTGAAGTAAGACTTTGCATGGATGGATACTGTATTTGATGATACTGTTTTTCCACAAATCAGTAATTTGAACTATCAAGTAAAGCAGTCGAAAGTGGAAAGTAATGAAGATAATAAAAACTCAAAGAACAAAATAAGCCAATGCATAATTATCCTGACATCACTGACTGGACGTACTTGAAGATCTCCAACTGCTCTATTTGAGGAAAAACTTTGTCCGGTTTGGGTAAATTTAGAGGGAATCGCTATAGAAAACTTTGGGAAGATGTCATAAACCCTGAAATTTCCTCAGGTCTGAGAAAAATTCCCGAAGTTTAGGGTTTTCACCAACCTTTTCACAGAATCTTACAACACTTTGAAGTTTTCCTCAAACTCTGAGGAAGACTACCATTTTTCTTACGACTTTTGGAAAAACCACAAAATTTAACCAAGATAGTGTGAGATTGGGTTAATAGGATGGATGTTAAGGAAATATTAATACTTTTTCAGTTTATCATCCTCTGAACGAAATGCCAGCTGATTTAGAAAATGAAGGGTCAGATGTACTCACATTTTTGAGTGTTGAAAGGTGGAAACAGCGGTAGGTCTATTTTTAATAGGTTACATTTCAAGCATCACTTTCTTAAAGTTTGATTTTCCATGTTTCTACACATACTTTTTTGCCTTTCCACAATCTGGAGATGAGGAAATTTCCAAATAAAGGTGTAGCTACCAATAGGACGGCCACTACATATATCTTTGGTCAAGATTTTAGCAGAGGCATTTAGAAACTACGGAGTCGTCGTATGAAAACGACGGGATTGAGAAGTTGCGTAAGTTGATCTACTTATCTCCTACAAACATGGTTACATATCAAAGCTTCTCTATATGGTTGAACAAAAACTGACGTGACATTTCTCAAGAACAAAAACACATACTCTCCTGGCTACTTCAAATTAATCATCATTAAGAAGGTCAATTAGTACCGACAAAGTTGAAAAGTTAAACAAAATCAACCACCATGACTAAAAAGTCTTCTAGTACAGACAATAAACAAACATTTTCTTTATACTAATGTCAAAAGTGCTACTCAGGGATTTTAAAACGACATATAAGAACAAAAGTGACTTTGCGTAGAGCTTGGAAAAATATATAAGGTTTCTTTGACCCCAAATTTTAGTGACAAGCCATTCCTCATCTTTTAAGTTCAATTCAATGGCGTTTCTCCAGTCACCCGGCTTCAGTATTCATAGCGGTGATTTATTAGGAGTTTTAAATTTTTTTTGACCGTTTTGGTTTTTAAATATCGTAAGAATCGTCGGTCCACTTGTAGGCATGTTATGTAAGTTAGTGTATTTCATATTCAGCTAGTTCACCCTATATGTCAGTTTGCATTTGAAGCCTTTTGACTGTTATCACCATTTCTATTTTCGACTCCTGTTAAAATATTTACCGTACTATATATAATGTCAGGCTTTTTAAGCTATTTAATAAAGGGCGTTTAACTTGAATAGTGCACTGCATCAAACAACAGTGAGGGACACCTATTACTGATTTCTGAACCACTTTTTTTCCAATCATACATACCTATGCGACAAAAGATAGTGAGTAATCACCTGTGGTCAGCTGAATGTGCTGAAGATGATTTCAATGAGGTTCCTTTGGTTATAGGTCGATTTATTGATCTTGGTGAAATCTTTACACCTATATAAGCGAAAACACATTAGGTTAGAGAGCTTCTAGGAATGTGGAGTTATGGTCTTATTCAGTTTCAGTGCTACTAGAATAACAGACCTACTCCGAAATCGAAGGCTTGCATTGATACAACTACTTGATCTATAGGATCTGACATGTAGTCGATTCGTCGTCTATACCGGTTCGCTCTACCATTATAGACAGCAATATACATTTCGGTAATTTTGAAGAACATATATGAACTAGGGATAGAATAATATATACAATACGGAAAAAAACAAGTGAGATAGAATGACCACACATGCGTGACCAAGTCATGCTGTACTGGTTCTGAGTTCCTGCGTCCACCATATTTGAACTTTTACTCACCTTCGATGTTTAATATATATTTTCCCAGTTGTTGTCTGTTCGGCTTCAAGGATATTGTGGTTGAGAACCAATACCACTACGGATTCGACACTAGTATGATGTCCATCACTGTGCGGATACATAATGAGAGAAAACGTGTCTCAGTTGTATCAAATGTGTTGGATGTGTAGGCCGGCGAAATGTCACTGGGTCCTAGACAAGTCATCCGGCAGTCGCGTCACTGGATGTCAAACCTGTAACAGCTCAGGTTGGTTGGTTAAGAGTTGACCCCAAACAACCAAGCTTATGCCAAAACAGTATTGTTCAAGTATTCATTCACTTCCTTATTTTTTATAAGCGTTATATTCCCTATTATCTTGAATGTTGAGAGCCTTTGTTTGTCTGAACAGATAATCCCACGCTCCACTGTGACTGCGCGAAGATCGAAATAAAGACCTATTCACTACTTGTCTGGTTTCTTCTATCAATAGCACGAGGGTTACCTTAAGGCACGAAATTGGTGAGCCCTTTTTGAACACAAATTTAACCTCATTTCTGTTAATAACATTTTTTTTACTTAATCGTAAAAGTAGACCTGATTAACCGTAAACTAATTTGAGTATATAACTAGTTTATTCCGTATTATCTTATGTTATTCGTGTTATAGTAACCACTTTTTGTGCTAACTTTGGATATCATAAGTCATTGATTTATGACATAAATGATCATTGACTCAAATGTTGTTCATTACTTATTACGAGACGACTCGTTCTCATTCCAAGAGTAACCAGATTTCTCTAGAAATAGTTTACTGCATTATACTGGTGAGCTTATTATTCTTGCACATCAGGAAGAATAATATGAGTTAGAGAGTTGACAATTAATAACTACCAAGCTAAAAGGATTTTAGACACTTGGTAGTTTAGCAGAATTTGATACTTCAAATTATTCTGTTTCTTTGCCTAGAGAATGCTAAATTACTTTTAAATAATTATGTTCCGATATGCAAGCATCTCAGTTCATTCTCCAAACATGAATAATAGATGATTGTTGACACTTCGAGAATTCAGTATGTTTGAAGTCATGCTTATTTTACAGTATAATTCACTTGACCAATCATTTTGTTGACATAACTGGAAATGAAGCCTGATTAAGTTGAAGTGATAGCACTTTTATTAGTTTGTAGTCGACATGAACAAAGTTATGGTGGTTGCATCAATGTTCATATAAATATAATTCTTTTTGGAATCGTCGAAGATAAGGTAGTGTCCATCCGTTCTTTCTCTTGTTCAGTCCATCTGCTAATAAACATATATGTTTGTTTTAATACATTGGTGGTTATGTTGAGAAGAAAGATAAATGCAATTTGTTCAGTCCTAGAGAAATGTGTAGCACTGAGTTACTTTCCATTTCTTACTCTCACAATTTCCTGAACATCCATATCAAACTATCTTCTGATTTATAGCTCGTAGTACGGCTTCTGATCACACCTATGGTGTTGTTTTGGTCCATTGCCCATCAAACGTCACGTGACAAACCGACTAATCAGAAATCCGACTTCTTTGACCTTGTCCCTGTGCTAAACCGATGACACCCCAACTATCACGAACAGCCTTGAG